AAAATCTGTGTGTCAATAAGGCAATAAAGTAATTTAAAAATATTCTATGTCTAACTTCTTCAATGTTTTCTAATTTATTTACATTTTTTCATATCACTGTAGTTTGTTCATTTTTATGCAATACCCCATTACATAAGTATACAATTAATTAAACCAAATTCGTGTATATACTACATAGAAAATTCAAAAAGGTTTCAATATTATGGTTTCTTTACCACAACCAAGTAGCTATAAAAAAAAAAGACCCACTTAATTTTTTACTTTGTACTATATATGGACTCTTATTCCTCAATAAGAATGAGGAAGAAAAACTCCCTCATTATTATTGAACCAATGAGAAGTCTTTATCATACAAATGTACCAGGGACAACTCATAGACATATTAGTTATTTTGGTACTATCCATGATAATGGTTGTATTAGTCAGGGTTCTTCAGAGCGATAGAACTAATAGGATATATGAATATGTAAGAGTGTTCATTAATAACAATTGGCTCACACAATCACAAGGTGAAGTGCCATGATGGGACATCTGCAAGCTGGGGAAGAAAGAAGCCAGTAGTGGCTCAGTCCAAGAACAATGCCTCAAACACAGGGAAGCCTAACAGTACAGCTTCCAGCCTGTGACTGAATATCCAAGATAACCTGGCAAACCACCAGTGTAAGTTCAAGAGTTCGAAGGCCAAAAAACTGGAAGTCTCATGTCCAAGGGCAAGAGAAACAGTTAGAAGACTCTGGCATAAGAGAAAAATAACAGCTAGAAGACACAGCAAGTCAGCTTATTCCACTTGCTTCCTTCTGCTATGATCTAGCCATGCTGGGAGCTGAGTTGATGGTGCTCACCCACATTGAGGGCGAGTCTTCCTCTCCTAGTGTACTGACTCAAATGTCCGTCTCTCCTGGCAATACCCTCACAGATACATCCAGAAACAGTGCTTTACCAGCTATCTGTGCATGCCATTACCCAAGTGAAAACATATGGTATTTGGTTTTCAGATAATCACTTCTATTACCAGGTGCAGGCATCCCTGCAAAAGGCATGATCTCGTTCCTGTTATGTCTTCATAGTATTCCACAGTGTATATATAACACGTTTTCTTTATCTAGTCTATCATTGAAGGGCATTTGGGTTGATTTCCTTTGCTATTGTGAATTGTGCAGCAGTGAATGTATGTGTGCGTGTATCTTTAAAATACAATCATTTAGATTCTTTGGGTATATACTCAGTAATGGGATTATAACAATATTAACCTTAAATGTAAATGGGATAAAACCCCAATTAATAAACACAGAATGGCAAGCTTGATAAAGAGTCAGGACTCATCAGCATGCTGTATGCAAGAGACCCATTTCACATGCAAAGACACATAGGCTCAAAATGAAGGAATGGAGGAAAATTTACCAAGCAAATTGAAAGAAGAAAAAAAGCAGATCTTGCTATCTTAGTTTCTGATAAAACTGACTTTAAGCCAAAAAAGATCAAGAAAGATAAAGAAGGTTATTACATAGCAGTAAAGTGTTCAATTCAACAAGAAGAGCTAACTATCCTAAATATATATGCACTCAAAACAGAAGCACACAGACTCATAAAGCAAATTCTTAGAGAGTTACAAAGAGACTTAGACTCCCACACCATAATAGTGGGAGACTTTAACACCCCACTGTCAATATTAGACAGATCAACGAGACAGAAAATTAAAAACAGCATTAGTATTTGAACTCAGCTCTGGATCAAGTGGACTTGACAGATATCTACATAATTCTCCACTCAAAAAACAACAGAATATGCATTCTTCTCAGCACCACATGGCATTTAGTCTAAAATTGATGACATGATTGGAAGTAAAACACTCCTCAGCAAATGCAAAAGAGCTGAAATCATAATAAGCAGTCTCTCAGACCATAGCACAATAAAATCGGAACTGAAAATTAAGATACTCACTAAAAAACCCCACAACTACAGAAATTGAATGACCTGTTCTTGAATGACTCCTGGGCAATAATGAAATTAAGGCAGATCAAGAAGCTCTTTCAAACCAATGAGAACAAAAAGACAATGTAGCAGAATCTCTGGGATGCAGCTAAAGCATTGCTAAGAAGGAAATTTAAAGGACTGAATCCCCACATCAAAAAGCTAGAAAGATCTCAAATTGACACAAACATCAGAACTAAAAGAACTAGAGAAGCAAATACAAACAAACCCCAAAGCTAGCAGAAGACAAGAAATAACCAAGATCAGAGTGATGCTGAAGGAGATATATGAAAAACTATTCAAAAAATCAACAAATTCAGGAGCTGTTTTTTTTTTAAATAGCTATCTAGACTAATAAAGAGGAAAAGAGAGAAGAATCAAATAGACACAATAAAAAATGATATCATCACTGACTCCATGGAATACAAACCACCATCAGAGAATACTATAAATACCTCTAAGCAAATAAACTAGAAAATCTAGAAGTGGATGAATTCCTTGACACATACACCCTCCCAAGACTGAACTGAGAAAAAGTTGAGACCAATAACCAGTTCTAAAGTGGAGGCAGTAATAAATACCCTACCAACCAAAAAAAAAAATAACCCAGGATTAGATGGATTTACAGATGCCTTATTTTTCTCCATTCTCTGTGGATCTGTTGCTTCCTTGATTAGTCCCAATGCAAGTTACCTGGATGGTTCAGTCGAAGGTACTGTATTTACTTGCTCCACCTGTTTCTCTCCATGAGAGCCATGCATATTAGCTGCTTCTAGTTGACCATCTTGGCTACTTATAATATTTTTCAAGAGTACATCTCATTTGAAGTGATTTTGCTAATACAAGACATACTTCTGAGATGTTGCAGATTTGGTCCCAGACTACTACAATAAAGCAAAACCTGGGATAAAGTGAGTCATGCAATTTGGTTTCGTTTCTCTGGCACATAAAAGTTGCATTTACACAATGCTGCTGTCTATTAATTCTGCAATAGTATTACATTCATAAAAAGTACATGCCTTAATTTAAAAAAAAATTTGTTGCTAAAAAGTGGTAACACTCATCTGAGCCTTCAGTGAGTTGTAAACTTTTTGCTGGCGGAGAGTCTTGCATCAATGTTGATGGCTGCTAATTCATCAGAGTAGTGGCTGCTAGAAGTTGGCATGGCTGTAGCATTTTCTTAAAAGTAAGAAAACAATGGCATTTGCTACATCCACTAACCCTTCTTTCGCAAAGGATTTCTGTTTAGCATGCATTGTTGTTTGACAGCAATTTTCCCATAGTGGTGCTTCTTTCAAAATTAGAATCAATCCTCTGAAAGTCTAATGCTGCTTTATTAAGTAAGTTTAAGTCATATTCTAAATTCCTTGTTGTTATTTCGACAATGTTCAGATAATTTTCACCAGGAGTAGTTCCATCTCAAGAAACAACTTTCTTTGCTTTTCCTTAAGAAACAACTCCTCATATATTTGTTTTATCACGAGATTGCAGCAATTTAGTTACATCTTCAAGTTCCACTTCTAATTTTAGTTATCTTTCTATTTTCACCATATTTGCAGTTATTTCCTCCACTGAAGACTTTGCTATAGGGCCAGCAGGTTCATATGCCCTCTCTGCAATAATAGACCAATTACACTGAGACATTAGATTTTGCAGCAAAGAAAGAATTTAATAATTGCAGAGCAATGAGCAGGAAAATAGGTGGAAACTCTCAAACTTACCTCCTTAAGGAGTTCTGGGCTAGAGATTTTAAGGGGATAATGGAAGGTGATGGACTGAAAAATTGAGGTCATAGTCATAAATTAGCCAGGAAAAGGGAGATAAAATCATCAGAACTTGGAAATTGCATTCTTTGGTGAGTCAGCTCCTTGTGGGGTCCTTCAGAGCAGCTGGCATCAATGAAGTCCTTCAGATCAGCTGGCATTAGTGAAATCCTTCAGATTATCTGGCATCAGTGAGGTCCTTCAGACCAGCTAAGGCAGTAGTTTCATCAGTATGTTGGACCTGAAGGAATACCTCAAAGAGAAAACAATATTTTAAAATGTTTAAGCTATTATCTATAGAACGGTTAAGATGAACTATAATATTGTTACAGTGTCTGCATAATTCTAAGACAGTAGCCAAAAAACCTATGAGGAAGTGAGACAGAGAGCAAACTAACCCGATGATTGATTAATGCTGAATGTAGTGCAGACTTGGTTTGTTTTTGTTTCTTCCCCTCCCTCTATCCTTGATTAATTCAACAGAGTCTATAGGGATAATTTCATCTTGAAACTCTCTAAGTCATACAGGATGGTTTTAAAAATCAACATATAAATGTGATATCATAAATGAACCTTTAAAATATTATGCTAAGTAAAATAAGCCAGTCATAAGAGATCACATATTGTATGATTCCATGTATTAAAAAATGTCCAGAATAGGCAAATCCAGAGATAAAAACTCAATTAACAGTTGCCCGGGATAGAACAAATGCAGAAAGTAGGGGTAGGGAGAAAAACGCTAAAGAGTATAGGGTTTGTTTTTAGGAGATAAGAGTTCTCTAAAACTGACTGTTATGGTAGACGCACAGTTCTGTGAATATACTATGAAACATTAAATTTTACACAACAATCGATAATTATATGAATTATATGTCAACAAATTTACAAAAGTTTTGAATTACATTTAGTTGTTTTATCTTTAGTTCTGTGTTAAAGAGACTGCAGGAACATGAACCTCTCACTGCTACTCTTACGCACAATATTCTACAATATATTACATGAGTCAGGTGATGTGTCCATGCAAGATTATTAATATTATATGAATCATAGCACTTAAAAATATAAAAAGGACATTAAACTCACTTGTGTAAGAGGTCATCTACTTTTTATTTGTCTCCTGTCATCCACACGCTCAGACTGTTAATAAAATGTATTTGAAGAGTAAAAGTTACATTTTAACTTTGTGACTGATTTATCCTTGCAAATCACCATGAGAAATGACAGAAAGGAGCAGCAACTAGAAAACAAGCATTGAATTGCATTAGGATGTCTATGAAATGGACTTCAGTTCTTCTGCTGATACAGCTGAGCTGTTACTTTAGCTCTGGGAGTTGCGGAAAGGTGCTGGTGTGGCCCACAGAATTCAGCCATTGGATGAATATAAAGACTATCCTGTATGAGCTTGTTCAGAGAGGTCATGAAGTGACTGTATTGGCATATTCACCTTCTTTTCTTTTTGATTCCAACAATTCATCCGCTCTTAAATTTGAAGTTTGTTCTACATCTTCAGCTGAAACTGAGTTTGTGGATAACGTTATTCATCTGGTTGAGAGACAGTCAGAAATTCCAAAAGATACATTTTGGTCATATTTTTCAAAAGTACAAGAAATGACGTGGGCATATGGTGACCTAATTAGAACGTTTTGTAAAGATGCAGTTTCAAATAAGAAACTTATGACAAAACTACAGGAGTCAAGATTTGATGTTGTTCTTGCAGATGCCATTTCCCCCTGTGGTGAGCTGCTGGCAGAGCTTCTTAAAATACCTTTTGTGTACAGTCTCCGCTTCTCTGCTGGCTACATACTTGAAAAATAGTGTGGAGGATTTTTGTTGCCTCCTTCCTATGCACCTGTTGTTATGTCAGAATTAAGTGATCAAATGACTTTCATGGAGAGGGTAAAAAATATGATCTATGTGCTTTATTTCCGATTTTGGTTCCAACTATTTGATATGAAGAAGTGGGACCAGCTTTACAGTGAAGTTCTAGGTAAGTAATTTTTTCAGTTGGTAGCATGAAGATCTAACCTTCTTGTGCCCTTTGAATCTGAACTTGTATAAAGCCATAAAGTCAGGGTAGTGGGGTTTTTTTGTAAGTGAATTTATTGTATGAAAGTATAAGATGATCTATCAAACTCACAGAGGCTATAGAAAAGGTAAATTATAGGATCAGTTAAAACCCTGTGGCCATCACATTCCAGTGAGTCATAAATCTGTAAATTAGTGGACCTTAGATATCTGTAATCAATCACACATCTGTTTTATTATACATTTGTTTCATCTTAAAGTCAAATCCATCAAGAAGCATCTTGCTGAATGCATACTGGTAGATTGAGTAGTTCCACATTTTTCTAGAACTATCTATGTATCATTACAGAAGTTGTTTTTTTCTTGTATACCTCAGTCTCCTTGTTTAGTAATTACAATGTATACCCATGTTACCAGAAGATTTTCTCTACAGTTGAGAGAAATGTCTTCATTTCAGAATAAAAGAAAAAAATACAAGTAATTTGAAGTTTCTAATGTTTCTATACTCCTTCACTAAAGGATGGGAAACCATTTACTTTAAGGCCAATCATCTTGTTGAAGTGCGAACGTTAAGTTATAACTGTATAGTTTCTTAAATTATGTCTATTTAAAAATATGAGCTAAATTAAGGTTAAACACAAATTTCTATTTTAATAATTTCTCAACGTTTTCTAGCTACCATTTGCAAACATATTTACTTAAAAATGAATATTATTAAGATCTTAGCATGAATCAAAAGTAGTAGTAGGTACAAGGATTTCAGCCATAATTTCAAAATAATCAACAGTTCATTTGAAGAACCAAAGATGAAAGAACTAAATTAATGAATTATGGAAATTAGACTCTTCCTTAGAAAATTTTTTTATAGGTAGAATTAATTAATCATGGCTCAAAGAGTGGTTTTTATGTATATCTGATACTACTGAAGGTTTAACAAATAAAACAGAGATTAATTCTCTATGGCTTGTTTGTGATTGTGAATATATTGATGTGATATAAAGGATGTAGTTTTTCTCATGATTCTCTTATCACTTTGCCTTTCTTATAAATACACATGGAAAAAATATATAATACATGAAAATTAAATTATGCCTGTATATGTATATATTTTTCAAAGCACAAATACTTCACCTACATTCTTCTAACTTCTTTCAGAAAATTACCTAGTGTAATTATCTTGTGTCATCTGCATTTTCTTTTCTTTTTTCCCCATTAGGAAGACCCACTACCTTATTTGAGATAATGGGAAAAGCTGAAATATGGCTTATTCGAAACTACTGGGATTTTCAATTTCCTCATCCACACTTACCAAATGTTGAGTTCGTTGGAGGACTCCACTGCAAACCTGCCAAACCCCTACCTAAGGTAAACTAAACCCCTACCTAAGGTAAACTATTACTGTTTATTTTGTTTGCTTTGAATGTTCAGTATGAATGGTTCTACATTCATTCAGAGTGTTTGACTTACACTGGCAGAAAGATAGGAAGTGGGAAAGGTAAAGCAGATACTGATTAAAAACTCACGTACATGCATATGTTGATACAATCACAAGTTTGTGAATTTCACCATTATTACAGCTAAAGAGCGATACTAAGGAGACTTTGAAAATAGGGTTGGTAAATTAAAGCTTTGATTATGCAACATATAAGAAGGTACTAGCCATTCATTGAAAGAATATTTATAAACAGATTGGCACACACAACAGGTAAGTGTGCGGAACACAGTTTCTGCCCCAACACACCTTACATTCTACTTTGAAAGACAGAATATATGCAAGTAATAAAAACTATTATCTCCAGGGAAAAAATGATGCTAAGGGAGCATCAATGTAGATAATAGAAAGTATCCTGAAGTCACTGATATTAACACTTAAGATGAGAGCTGAACAATATGCAGGAATAGGTGAAAGAATGAGGGAGAGAAAAAGACAAAAGGAAAAGCAGGTGAAGTGGTCAGGACAGTTCTCAAGACTCAAAGTTTAGTTTGCAAGGGAGATACTGAGTAAGAATCAGATGATGCTGACATGCAAGATAAGAGTCAGATACTCTTTAGAAGCTGAAATTTATTAAGCACATTTAGGAACTACCAAAAAGAGTTAAGGCAAAAAAAGTATGTGACAGTATTATATTTTTTAAAATCCAAGATGTTCAATGGATTAAATTGCATTAGGGCCAGACTGGAAAGAGCCAACCATTTGGGAAATTTTGTGTGAATTCAGGTAGCAGATGATGGAAAAGTGGATTAGAAAGGAGATAGAAATAACTATGCCTACTTTTACAGTAATGCTACTAACTTCGTATTGTGTTGCATGGAAAAAAGTTAATACAAATAAACCACTTAAAGTGTCTCTGGCTTATAGTGATTCTGAAATATTAATTTTGCAATTGTGCTTATTTTTGTTATTACTAATACTAAAAATTACTTAACGTGTAAGTCACTTGAAATATCATTCCTCATTTAATAGAAACTAATTATTCAGCATTTCAAGATTACATTCTCCAACAAAGTCCTACCTGCCTTCTATATGACAGACACCCTTTGGGCTTGTTTAAAAGAAGACATATCAGTTTTGACAGAAAGATGAGCAAGCTAAAATTCTAAAAGTCAACCATAAGTGATAAGGATCTTCACCAGTATTCTAACTTGTAAGAAAATAATTCCTTAACAATAGGAATGTGTGATCCTATATTTGCAGCCACACCCAATGTTCACTTGATTTGACTCAAGCATTTAAATAATTCTGCATTGAGATCCCAGAGGTTTACCTCTTAGCATAAACATACCCTATCAGAGCAGGAGTTTTCTGCCTTAAGATGAGCAACTCAGTAAAGGTTCCTGGGATAACTTGTGTCTCGACATCATAACTGCGTAACAAAGAAACACAGAAAAAAATGAACAATGCTTGTATAATAAATACCAAATAATTTCTACCACTTACATCTGAATAGTGTCCTTAGTTTACAATAACAAAGTAATTCTGTCATCATTTAACCTTATATTCTTTATGAAGGAACATAAGAACCTTACATATTTTAAATTGATGTCACACTTCTAAGAAATAGGTAGAAAGTAAGCATTCTTTATTACATTATTATATAATCTCTTACGAGGTCATTTTTGTCTACCTCCTTATTAGCAGCAACATGAAGCTAGTATTTTATTCCATGGTTAAAATTCAATATCTATGTTGAATGCAAATTGTATGGGCTCTATATGGTAACTTTCTAAAGAGACAAAAGCTGAGGTAAGACTAATGAGAATTCTGTGCCATCCTACCCTACTCTTGAAAGGTTTCACCGCTCACATTAAGGGAAAGTGATAGTGCCGGTAGGAGTGGGAAGAGAGTAGGAGGTGTAGAAGGACAAGGAAAAGGATGACTAGTAGTACAATAGCACTAATTACTAATACTAGCTGTTGTTATTAACTTGCCGAAAGCTTCGAATGCCAGTCTATGGTTGGGAAACCCACTCTCTAATTGTTTATTATGTAAAATAATTGTAAACCCAAGTTGCTTTCGAGTCAATTATAGATTCTCAGATAATTTATGTATATTATAAGAGAAATGGACACTTGGCCAACGTATCAAGTGTTAAAAATGTATATAGTCATTGGTTTTCTAATATATTCACATGAAATCGTACAGGTAAAAAAAAGAAATCAAGATGTACATATTTAATATTTATGGAAAATATTCATAAAATAAACACTGGAAGTAATCAAACATCTTAAATGAAGGAATAATTAAAAACTTACACTAGATGCATACTATAGCATTACAATAATTTTATCAATAAAATATTCAAAACAGTTAGCTATACTACAAGTAAAGTGAGGTAGAAAATCATAAATATTACAAGATGATACATTTCTTGTAGGAGGAAAAGGCACATTCAATAAGAATAAAATTGTCTAAATAAATGTCACAAGTGTACATTCAACTATCAAAATAGAACAAAAGCCATGATGAAATCATACAGAGTTTACTATGGTAACATCTCTAGACAGATATTTTAGAAAAAAAATTATTTTCATTTTAAAACTTTTAATACTTTTATAAATTTCTTACATAAATAGTGTATTTTTTTAAAGTTGTCACAGAAGGAGAAACAACCACATCAATAATGAATCTGTAAACAGAGATTATATTACTTTAACACCGAGTGGATGAAGAAGGCTCTAGGAATCAAGTCACTGAGACAAAACACTGAACAAAATTTATATTTAATGTGGCTACAGGTAATTGCAATCACACAAGATACCTGGATATCCCATGTATTACCTGGAATAGTAGTACAATGACTCTCACTTCATTAACACTGATGTCTTAAGATTAAAAATCATATTTTTAAAAATAGCCATATGTGATCTGTAAAGTAAACATTTGGAATTGTTTTATTTTGTAAAGAACACTTAAGAAAAAGTTTTACCGCAATGATTGTATCTGAAAGTATTATTTAAATCAAAAAATTGGTGTAGATTGAGGAACACAAGTCAGAATGATTCTCAGTAAATTCCAGCCAAGTACATCTTCCACCAAAATTTTTATGTAGTGTGAGTAAGCCACTCAAGAGGGTGACCAAATATCTTCTGCAGAAAGGCCTGGTAGCCACCTCCATTGCGGTGCAAGTGCTGCTGCCTCTGAGACACAGCAAAATGATGAGGAGAGCTCCTCACATGCAGTTATAAATAGCGCATAAATTTAGCAGTGTGATTTCAGGGAAAAGTTGTTCCACTTAAACAGTAACATAAAACATGATCATTCAACTATATAACTGTCCAATTTTGTATTATATATACTGTACAAATCTGTATTATGAATGAGACTCTTAGAATTAATTCATGGAAATTCCAAACCACAATACCAGACTCCAGTGTTTCTTAACCACCACCTTTTACAGTTATCATTTTTTTCTTTTTTGAAAAAAGCCTAGAAAACTCTGACAAACTTTAAATGAAGTGTAAAGGGTTATAGAGTAAGATAAATGTAGATATAAAATAATCCCAGCTGTGAGTAACTGTTCCTCAGTACTCATAGTCAGGGGAGTCAACCACTAATGACTTCAAACTAAAATAATTCTGTAGAAAACCTGACTAAAATAAACATGTCTGATTTAGTAGAACAACAATATAGCATTAAAGATGAGTGGTGTCACTTTCCAAGAACCTATGTTAGTAATTACAATATTACAAGTGAAGAATTTGGGTATAATGTTTTCTAATACTATCTCCCCAAATATGATGTAATAGCTCTATTTCATTTCTCCCTTTCACACATGCACACGTATACATACATACACACATATATTTACACAAATACCCTTAACAGAGGCAACCTATCTCATAATATACATCTTGCAAAAAATCAGAGTAATTGAATCAGTTAAAAAAACATCGTTTACTCCAATAATTCCTGATAATACTTCATTTTCTCTCTTTAGTTTTTGTACCATTTAGTCCACATGTGCTGATACTCTGTTATGATAGAACACATTCTTTTTTTTTTTTCCACAGGAAATGGAAGACTTTGTACAGAGTTCTGGAGAAAATGGTGTTGTGGTATTTTCTCTGGGGTCAATGATCAGCAACATGACAGAAGAAAGGGCCAATGTAATTGCATCAGCCCTTGCCAAGGTCCCACAAAAGGTTAGATAAAGTGTCTTAATAGTGTCGAAAATTACTGAAAGGGGCTGCTAAAGCTTGTAAAGGATCCAATTATAGAAATTTTCTGCCTATAAATTCAGCTGCTGGGAAAGCACTAATTATCTCAGATATTAGTTCAAAATCAAATACACACACACACACACACACACACACACACAAGATCTAAAATAACACGGGATGTTTTTCATTGATAATAAACAGTATTATTATTGTGATCAGAAATAAATAAAATTAAGGGTTGTAGGTAAAGTTTGGGTATTATCATGATATTGGGTTCAAGTAAGAGCTATCATCAAATTCTGCCTGTCATTTGATCCTTTTGTTTAAAGATTCCTGAGGGAGCTGTACACACTACAGATGTTAGAAAAAGTTATATGTGAGTAACTTCACTAGCACAATAATAGCAGATATTTCAAAAAGTCTGACATGTATCATGCAGTTTAGACTTGCCATGTTATCCAGCCTCATTTACTTCCTGGTCATTTTAGGATAGGCCTATTCGAGTGATGTTCAAGGTACTATCAGAGAAAGGACGGCCTAGGCTGACTGACAACTAGTCTAAGAACCCACTCAGCCAGGTTGATTTAGAGAAAGAGAAAAAGCAACCTACCTTGCTGGGCTGGGTCCAGCCAGTGTCCGAAGCAGGAAGATGAAAGAGAAAGGGTAGAGATGGATCCTGCTCTGAGGATGGACCCTGTGCAGTATAAAGTGTGAGGACTCTGCACTAACTATCAGATTAACAACTCCTCCCAAAGGAGGCAGCAGTTGGAAATAGAGGAAGGAGCCAAACAAAAGGAAGCCAGGCAAATTGTCACTTGAAATTTTTCTTGGATGTAGTGCTTGATAATTTGTAATTTCAAATAAGTTATACATGCTACCTTTGCAGCATTGACTCCTTCCAAGTAGTTTATTTTAGAGACTTGCATTTTTGTCAAAGGACATCAAACTCTATTAAAATAACTTACAGACAAGTAGATATATGTGAACCACTTCCCATATTACTGAAAAAAATTTAGTATTATATTTGATAGATGAAAAATAATATAAAATACATAAAAAATAATCATGTAGGTCATTAGTAAATTGTTATTGCTTTGTCACACTAGAATTATGACTATCTAAAATTTTTAATGCATATAATTATTAATTTTTTAATCTTTTAAAAATTGAATTAAATTTTATTTTTTAACTTTTAATTGCAGGGATACATGTGGAGGTTTGTTACATAGGTAAATTTAGGTCTTGGGGGTTTGTTGTACAGACTGTTTCATCACACAGGTATTAAGACTAGTACCCATTAGTCTTTTTTCCTGATCCTTTCTCTTCTCCCAACCTCTACCCTCCAATAAGCCCCAGTTTATGTTGTTACTCTCTATAAGTTCAGGTGTTCTCATCTTTTAGCTTCCACTTATAAGTGGACATGTGGTATTTGGATTTCTGTTCCTGGTTCATTTGCTAAGGATAATGGCCTGCAGATCCATTTATGTTCCTGCAAATTACATGATCTTGTTCTTTTTTTATGGCTGTATAATATTCCATGGTGCATATGTGCCAGATTTTCTTTATCTAATCCATCATTAATGAGTATTTAGGTTGATTTCATGTCTTTGCTAGGGTGAATAGTGCTGTATGAACATATGTTTGCATGTTCTAATTTATAGTCCTTTGGATATGTACCCAGTAATGGGATTGCTGGGTCAAATGGTATTTCTGCCTCTAGGTTTTTGAGGAATCACCACTCTGTCTTCCACAATGGTTGAACTAACTTACACTCCTTCCAACAGAGTATAAGCATTTCTTTTTCTATACAACCTCACCGGCATCTGTTATTTTTTTGAGTTTTTAATAATGGCCATTCTAACTGGTGTGAGATGGCATCTCTTTGTGGTTTTGATCAGTAATGTTAAACTTGTTTTCATATTGTGGTGTGCCACACATAGGTTTTCTTTTGGGAAGTGTAACAAGTTTTTTAATACTTGAACTTTTCATTGAAAAATCATGATTTCCCTATATACCTAATTATAAAAATTAAAAAAATGAAATGTGAGTATCCTATTTACATCAGCATGAGTAGTTCTTGTTACTTCTCATTGTTAGTCTCTTTAGAGTGCTAACATTCTGTAACTTTGGAGTTCCACTCATGGAATAAAATATTTTCTTTAATGTAACAGGTTCTGTGGAGATTTGATGGGAATAAACCAGATACTTTAGGACATAATACTCGGCTGTACAAGTGGATACCCCAGAATGACCTTCTTGGTAAGTCTCCGGAGAACAAATACTTAATATATTCATAACAGATAATTAGAATGTTAATGGCGCATCACGAAAGAAGCTTGTTGAACATTTGTTATGGAAAAACTTAAAAATAAAATAAAATAAAATGAAACTTCTTTATATTTTTCAGTCCAGGGAGAAAAGAATAAACTAAATTGTTGGCATTTTGTGATATGCACTCACATTCTTTATGATCACAATCAGAGTATCTTTATTTCAGGTGTTATTACCTCTTACAGAATTTTTCTGGCACTTCCTGGGTTGTCTTCCTTTCTCCTATTTCTACAACTTTACGCCTGTTCTTTCCTCTCCTTCAGGGATATTTCAAGTGCCACTAAAAATAACCTTCTGCTATCACCAGGGACACTGCACTTTCTGTAGGATTAAATCCCTAACCTTAATCATACAGTGATGACACATTTTATAATGAAGTATGACCTGTCCTTCCTCTATTCTAGCACCATCACTGCACTGCCTGCTGCCTTGCACACCGCACATACCATACTCCATGACTGCACATAAAAGAACACATTCTGGCTGGTCATGGTGGTTCACGACCGTAATCCTAGCACTTTGGGAGGAAAACGCGGGCAGATTGCCTGAGCTCAGGAGTTCGAGACCAGTCTGGGCAACATGGTGAAACCTCATCTCCACTAAAATACAAAAAATTAGCCAGGTGTGCTGTTGCACCTGTAGTCCCAGCTACTCAGGAGGCTGAGGTAGGAGAATTGCTTGAACCCTGGAGGAGGAGGTTGCAGTGAGCAGAGATTGCGCTATTGCACTCCAGCCTGGGCAACAGAGCAAGACTTTGTCTCCATAAAAAATAATAATAATTAATTAATTAATTAATTAATAACACAGTCTTACATATCCCTTTTCTTTGTTTTTATCTTTTTGGCACATTTTATGCCTCTTATTTAAATTGCACTTTTTCATTAGTCCAACTGGTAATCTTGTATTAATTTTTTTTTTTTTTTGAGACAGATCTTGCTCTGTCACCAGGCTGGAATGCAGTGGTATGATCTCGGCTCACTGAAACCTCCTCAGCCTCCTGATTAGCTAGAACTACAAGCACATGCCACCACACCCAGCTAATTTTTGTATTTTTAGTAGGGAACAGATTTCACCATGTTGGCCAGGGATGGTCTTGATCTCTGGACCTCCTGACACACCCTCCTCAGCCTCCCAAAGTGCCGGAATTACAGGCATGAGCCACCTCACTCAGCGTAATTTTTTTAGCCTGAAGTTGCACACACCATATAACCTTCACTTACATCGCCAGCAGAAGTATGTGCTCAATTTCAATTTAGTTCAGTGTGTTATATAGAAAACACTGTCACTTTCAGAGCCTTCCACTGTGCATTTCTCATTTTAGTCCTATGAATAATTTTGCTAAAATTCATTCAATCCTAGGTCATCCAAAAACTAAAGCTTTTGTAACTCATGGTGGAGCCAATGGCATCTACGAGGCGATCTACCATGGCATACCTATGGTGGGCATTCCATTGTTTGCCGATCAACCTGATAACATTGCTCACATGAAGGTCAAGGGTGTAGCCGTTAGATTGGACTTCAACACAATGTCGAGTACAGACTTGCTGAATGCAGTGAAGACTGTAATTAATGATCCTATGTGAGTATAACTTTTTTTTTAACTAGGTGGTATTTATAGATAGGTTCTCTTGTCAATAGTGAGTATGACTTTTATCTTTTCTATGAGACTGATTTTGAAATAATTTAAACGATGTAACCAATCTGAAATCTGCTTTTATTTTTGAGTGGTTATTTTAAAATTATATTTGAACCACATACATTTAATGAATAATGAATTATTAAAATACTTTTCAACACAAAAATAATTTTAAGGTGATATAGATAATAAAAATGCATTTTAAAATAAATTTGACAGAATCAGTCCACAGTAGAAAGGAAAGATAAATTTGATAAAATATAATAAAATATTTTAATTCAATGTCTAAAATGTCTCAAAGTATGTATGTTTTCTTACTGAAAAATTTATTATTATCATTATTGTAACAGGCTTGATAATTAAATTTAATTTCCATAGCATAAATCCCTCCTATTTAAAGTATAAAATCCAAATGTATTTATGCTTACAGTCTTGAAGCCATCACCATTATATAATTTTAGAACATTTTAAACCACATTAAGTAAATTGTAATGGCATAGAAGTCACTTCCCATGACCCCTTAGCTCTAGGCTAACGCCAATTTGCTTTCCTTTTCTATAGATTATTCTCTCTATATATTTCATATAAATTGAATCATACAATTTATGATGTTGTATAAATGACTTCTTTCACCTAGCACAATTTTGGTTGTTTTTATGGTTTTTAGTTTTATTTACTTTGTGTGTATTAATATTTCATTTATTTTTATAGCAGTGTATTTTATAATATGGATGTGCCTTATTTTATTTGTCTCTTTATTAGCTCATTAGCCCTTTAATTGTTTCCAGTTGTGGTTATTTGGAACTTTTTTTTTGCATGGACATGATTTAATTTCTTTTGGGTAGATTCTAGAAGTGGAATTCCTGGCCCCTATAGGAACTGTATGTTAATGAAGATTTGCCAAACTGTTTTCCAAATGCTTGTTCCATTTGTCATTACCACCATCAGTACAGGAGGGTTCCAATTCCTTCACACTGTTGCCAACACCTGTAATTATTTGTCTTTTTATTACACCATTCTTGGTGGGTGTGAAATGATCTCTCATTGTTGCCTTGGATTGTATTTTCATTATGCCAGAGCTGTTGAGAATCTTTATATGTGCTTACTGACCATGCATATATCTTCTCTAGAAAAATGTCTATTCCAATCCTTGGAACATTTTTAAACTTTGTGACTTGTTTTATTATTGAGTTTTATGTAAGAACTATTTATATGTAATAGATACAATCCCATATCACATATATAATTTTTAAATATTTTGTCTCATTCTTGTTGAACTAATTTTTTACTTTTTGATGATGGTCTTTGAAGCACAAAAATTATATTTTAATAAGTAAAATTTTTGATAGTTGATTTATTCATACTCCAAAGAAAACAATGTGCAAAATGCCTTGCCCAATCCAGCTATTATCAATTCAGCATTTATAACTACTATTAATAATGTTTTTATATAAGAAAGGTTACACCTAAAGGAATACTTTAAAAGTACTTTATCACAAATAATATAGAAGGATAATGAATGATAAAAGTGCCTTTAAAGACTACAGGAAATAATTGTGAAAGAAACATAAAACAGGTTGAAAAAATAGAAAATAAATATAAAAAAAGGTGGTAGATTTAAATGTGAATATACAAATACTTTCATTAAATCTAAACAGACTTGAAAAATAAGACCAAATAATGAGTAAGAACATAAAACATTTGAAGAACACAATTAACAATTGTCACATTGTAATGTAACACACACACACATATATAATACACACATATGTATTTTGTATATCAACCAGAAGATACATTATTCTAAAACATGTTGAATAGTTAATAATTATTTGAATTTACATGTGGTAGGTCATAAATCAAGACTCAGTGTGCATGAAAATATTCAATATCATAAAGAAAACATGATCCAGCCCTAGTGGATGTGAGAAATTATAAAAATGATAACTAAAACATCTTTAAATTTTGAATATTAAATACAGTTAAAAAGTTTTTTAAATAAAAAAGTAAATCAAAATTATGCATGCACTTTTATCTCAGCAGTTCCACTTTTATCTCAGTAATTCCAAACTCACACCCAACAGATATGTATAAATGTACAAACCCATTGCTATATACAAGAATGTTTATACAAAATTATTAATACTTTCCAAAAATTGTTGGCAACCCAAATATCTATTGACCATAAAATGAAAAGCTAATCTGTGGTATTATCAATTAATGAAATGCTACACAGCAACAGAATTAAACCAACAACTGCTACATTTTAAAAAAAGACACTTTGGGAGGCTGAGGCAGGCGGATCACAAGGTGAGGAGTTTGAGACCAGCCTGACCAAAATGGTGAACCCTTTTCTCTACTAAAAATACAAAGTTTAGCTGGGCATGGTGGTACACACTTGTAATCCCAGCTATTCAGGAGGCAGAGGCAGGAGAATTGTTTGAACCCAGGATGCAGAGGTTGCAGTGAGCTGAGAGTACATCACTGCACTTCAGCCTGGGTGACAGAGGGAGGCTCCATCTCAAAAAAAGAAAAAAAAAGAAAAAAAAAAAAAAAGACACAAATGAGTATTTGTTACATAATTTAATTATACAAGCAAACAAAGCTAAAGTATGATATTCGAAATCAGGTTAATATTTAATTGGAGGACAAAAGTAAGTGACTAAAATGGTCCAGGAAAAGAGAGTTCTTCTAAGTAGATTCTGATGTCCTCTATCATGATCTGAGAAATAGGTAAACTGGTATCTTCACTTCAGGATAATGTTCAAGATGATGACACCTTTTTGAGCTATGTGTATGCACATTTATTTTATGTATTTTGTAGTTGAATGTGTATTTTAGAAGACTTGTAATGCATTTTAAAATTCTAGACATCAAATAATTTCAAAATAAGCCCAAAAATATAGAGGAAATCCTAGGGGTTCTATCATAGTGTGGCCAGAAAGAGCCTCTCTTAGGAATAATATTTAAAGGGTTGCCTCCCAAGAGATAGAAGTATCACTTGTGTTGTTGCAATAAAGAATACTCCAAGAGTGGGAAGAGGAGACAAAATGCTTAAAGTGCTAAGATGAAAACACCTTTGGGAGCTTAAAGAAAAATATAAGGCCAATGTCCCTAGCAGACCCGGTGTGCATGGGAAAAGTGTTTGGTGAAGAGCTTGCCAGTATCTGATAATTCAGGGTCCTGAGGACCAAATAACAGAGTTGGATTTTATTCGTAATATGATAAAAAGCCAAGAAAAGTCTTCCAGGGGAGTGTCATAATCTGACTTTTATTTCAAGAAAATCATTCTGGCTACTGGGCGGGAAACAGTGGGACACAAAAGAGTGGAATAGAAGCAGAGCAACTGGCTTTGAGGCATTTCACCCAGGTGGCACAATTCCTTTTTAGAAACCTGAAGATGGTAATTATTAAATTGTATTTTAACTATGTACTGTTCAGTACTTAAAATGGCTCAAGATGTTGAGCATGATTTTATACGCCTGTTTGAGAACTAAAGGCGTGTAATTGAATTTTTCATAACATAAAGGAAAATAATTAAGGGATGGGTACCTTTTCTTCATAATGTGATTATTTTACATTGCAGCCTCTACCAAAGCATATCATATACCCCATAAATATGTACACCTACTATGTATGCACAAAAACTAAAAATTAAAAAAATAAAATAATAAAATTGTTCATAATATGTTCTCTGCCTCAAATAATTAACCTTCTCACCCGACCTTCCATTTTTACATTAAAAATATTTGTCAATGATGAAATTCCAATTTAAAAGTCAAACTTTCTGTGATGACTCCAATAAAAATACACAAGCTCTATGTCAACTCTATGACATTTACTTTGAATCATGTGACACTTTAAAAAACTTTCATGGACTTGATAAGCTCAGGCAAATTAACTTGCATTCAATGTTGATATTGTTATGTTTATCATTCAGATATAAAGACAATGCTATGAAATTATCAAGAATTCATCATGATCAACCAGTGAAGCCCCTGGATAGAGCAGTCTTCTGGATTGAATTCGTCATGCGCCACAAAGGAGCCAAGCACCTTCGGGTTGCAGCCCACAATCTCACCTGGTTCCAGTACCACTCTTTGGATGTGATTGGGTTTCTGCTGGCCTGTGTGACAACTGTGATATTCATCATCACAAAATGTCTGTTTTGTGTCTGGAAGTTTGTTAGAACAGAAGAGAAGGGAAAAAAAGATTAATTATGTCTGAGGCTGTAAGCTGGGAAACTTAATAAATGAGACTCCAGTTTAATACAGAAAGAAGAGATTGTGATGCAAGATTCCTTTCTTCTTGTGACAAAACACCTTTCAAAACTTACCGTATCAAGTCAAAATTTGTTTTTCAAAGATTTAGTACCTGTTTAACAGGTGCTAAAACAGGAGGAAAACACTAGGGAAAACAAAAATGATATAAAGCCATATGAGCTTATATTGAAATTTATTGTTCTAATTCACAGGTTACATGAAAAAATTTTATTGAGCTTAACTACATTTCACATATTGTAATGGAAACAAGAACATTAAGAATTCCACTGACAGTATCAATTTCGTTTTGCAAATAGTGAAAATACTTTGAATTCATTTCATGCAGAATTGTGTTTTAATTGTTGCTGAGGAAACTATTAAATAATTAAGTTGTATTAAAAAATCTCTCTTCCTCTTGATATTTTGAAGTGAGTAGTGCTGCTTGGCTTTTATTGTGCATCCAGCTTTAGCATCACATTTTTTCCTAAAAGGCATGGTACAATGCTTCCCATATTAGAGCTTAGGTCATTGCCTAGTGGAAAGTTTGTGGAATTAGAAATATAACAACTCCTACCTGCTCTCTACTACAAAATGAACTAATTTTACAATGTGTTTGGTTTTTTGAGCCAATTCTATTTTTCTGGTTATTTAAAAATATTCGTCTGTTTTATTTTATTCTCTTTTTTTATTATTTCAATTGTTTTTAGGCGACAGTTGTCTTTTGATTACATGGATGAGCTTTTTCGTGGTGCTTTTTGAGGTTTTGGTGCACCCATTACGTGAGCAATCTATATTGTACCCAGTGTGTAGTGTTTTATCCCTCACTCCCCTCCTACCCTTCCCTCTGAGTTCTGAGAGTCTGTTATACAATTATGCCGTTGAGTCCTAATGGCTTAGGTCCCATTTATAAGTGATAACATACGTTGTTTGGTTTTCTGCTGCTGAATTACTTCACTTAGAATAATGGTTTCCAACTCCACCCAGGTTTCTGTAATACCATTATTTTGTCCCGTTTTATGGCTGAGTAGTATTCTATGGTGAGCGTGTGTGTGCGTGTGTATATATATATGTGTATGTGTTTGTGTGTGTGTGTGTGTGTGTGTTTATTTTACAATGGGTGGATAAAGAATAGGTGATATATATATATAATAGGAATATACATTAAGAATAGGTGATATGTGTGTGTGTGTGTGTGTATATATATATATATATATCCACATAGATCACCTATTCTTTATCCATCCATAGGTGGATATATATATATATCACCTATGGATGGATAAAGAATAGGTGATATATATATATATATATATCTCCACCCATTGGTTGATGGGAATTTACCCTGGTTCCATATTTTTGCAATTGTGAATTGTGCTGCTATAAACATATGTGTGTATGGGTCTTTTTATGTAATAACTTATTTTCCTCTGAATAGTTGCCCAGCATTGGAATTGCTGGATCAAATGGCAGTTCTACTTTTAGTTATTTCAGGAATCTCTGTATTATTTACCATAGTGGTTGTACCAGTTTGCATTCCCACCGGCAGTGTAAATGTGTTCCCTTATTACCACCATGCCAACATCTATTATTTTGAAAGTTTTAAATTATGGCCATTCTTACAGAAGCAAAATAATATTGCATTGTATTTTGATTTGCATTTCAATGATCATTAGTGATGTTGAGCACTTTTTCACGTCTTTTGGCCATTTGTACATCTTCTTTTGAAAATTGTCTATTCATGCTCTTAGCCCACTTTTTGAGGAATTATTTCTTTTTCTTTTGCTGATGTGTTTAAGCTTTTTGTTGATTGCAGATATTAGTGTTTTGTGGGATGTGTAGTTTGTGAAGATTTTCTCCCACTCTGTGAGTTGTCTGTTTACTTTGCTGATTATTATTATTATTTTTATTTTCTGCTGTTCAGAAGCTTTTTAGTGTAATTAAGTTCCACCTATTTATCTTTGTTTTTGCTGCCTTTGTTTTGGGGTTCTTGGTCATGAAGTCTTTTTCTAAGCCAATGCCTAGAAAACTTTTTCTTATGTTATGTTCTATAATTTTATGCTTCCAGGTCTTGGATTTAATTATTTGATCCATCTTGAGTTGATTTTTGTATAAGGTGAGAGATGAGTATCCAGTTTCATTCTTCTACATGTGGCTTCTCAATTATCCCAGCACCATTTGTTGAATAGGATGTCTTTTCCCCACTTTATGTTTTTATTTACTTTGTCAAAGACTAGTTGGCTATATGTATTTGGCTTTATTTCTGGATTTTTCTGTTCTGTTTTGTTGGTCAACATGCCTGTTTTTATACCATTACCATGCTGTTTTGTTAACGATAGCCTTGTAGCATAGTTTGGAGTTGGGTGATGTGACACCTCCAGAATTTTTTTTTTTCTTTTTTTTTCCCCTTAGTCTTGATTTGGTTGTGTGGACATCAAAGCTGAGAATCAAATCAAGAACCCAACCCCTATTACAACATCTGCAATAATACTAATAATTAAATAAAATACTTAGAAATATACCTAACCAAGATAGTGAAAGTTCTCTACAAAGAAGGCCACACAACTCTTCTGAAATAAATCATAGATAATGCAAACAAATGGAAACACATCCCATGCTCACTGGTGGCTTGAATCAATATTGTGAAAATGACCATACTGCCAAAAGCAATCTATAAATTCAATGCAATTTCCATAAAAATATCATCATTATTATTCACAGAACTAAAAAAAAAATCAACATTCTAAATTTCATATGGGTTCTATTCTCATTTTTGACATTTAATGACAAATATAAGTTCTTAATTTTGGGATTTGATAATATAGGAATTTAATTCTAAAGGGACTTCATATATTTTTAATCTTGCTAACCATGCACGTACATAGACATGTCCATTATTTTCAAAACAAGACACAGCATCACTTAGTTGCCTAATATATATGTGGTGAAATTCAATGTGTTTATTGAAGACAGTTTGAAATAATAATTATTATTCCACATATTATACTTCAAATGATCATGTCTAATTTTTCTCTTTTTCCACAGGGTATTTTGATCCATTTCTTCTATAAATATAAAATAGAAACATAAAATCACTTAGCATGACAAAAAGTATACAAAGTATATGATAAGTTTGCGAATTTTGTGGAAAATAGCCAAATCAAGCCATAAACCTTCTTTAATCTACACATCAGGGAAGCACTTTATGATGAGAGTGGTCCAGATAGACAGAAACCTAGTTGTCTTTGTTTGTAAGAAGTCTTTTTTTTTTTTTTTTTTTTTTTTTTTTTTGAGGCGGAGTTTCGCTGTTACCCAGGCTGGAGTGCAATGGCGCAATCTCGGCTCACCTCAACCTCCGCCTCCTGGGTTCAGGCAATTCTCCTGCCTCAGCCTCCTGAGTAGCTGGGATTACAGGCACGTGCCACCATGCCCAGCTAATTTTTTGTAGTTTTAATAGAGACGGGGTTTCACCATGTTGACCAGGATGGTCTCGATCTCTTGACCTCGTGATCCACCCGCCTCGGCCTCCCAAAGTGCTGGGATTACAGGCGTGAGCCACCGCGCCCGGCCAAGAAGTCTTACTATTAACCAATTCTCACACAAATATTCTCCAGCCTAAGGCATCATTTAAATATACATATATTATGTATATATACATATATCACTATATATATATATATATGTAAATATGAATCATGGCTACACACACACACATACACACACACACACACACACACACACAGTATAACCCTGATGCTAGAGAAATTATAGGAAAAATGTATAACAGAATATTTCATACAAATCATCCAGAAATTGATATATAAATAAACACAGAACTAATATAGTACCAAAGGTTAATAATGTTGTTTTATCATGCTTATAAAACCTGTGTTTATTTACATTAAATCTATCCTACAACACATGTAACAATAGATTGGTATCCATTGTTTAGTGAGAACTACAATACAACAACCAAAAAATAAAATAAAATAAACAATCTAATAAAAAAGTTAATGAAAGTATGAATAGGCACTTCAATGTAAAAATGGCAAATAACATATAAAAGTTGATAAAGTTACTGATGCTCAAATAGAAACAAAGCCAATAAATTATTGTTGTAGAGGAGGCTTGCAACCTATAAAAAGCCCACATAGAAGAGTCAGCATAACATGATGGTTAAGAGCTGGCACTCTGAATTCAGGTTGCCTTGATTCAAATATTTGAGAAACCACTACATAATGATGTGGGTTGGACAAGTTATTTAAATTTTATTTGCCTCAGCTTTCACACAAATGAAATGGCAATGGTTGTCATAGCATTACCTACTTCATGGAGTTGCCAAAATGAGGAATTCACTAATATTGCAAAGCACTATAAACAATTTTATGTACATTAAAATAAAATTTGCACTATTATAATTAAACAAATCAAAAAAAAATTCCACAATGATTTTACTTTTCATAAAATTACATAATATAGGCCAGGCTTAGTGGTTCATGCCTATAATCCCAGCACTTTGGGAGGCTGAGGAGTTTGAGGATCTTCAGTCTCAGATACAAAATCCTGATATGGCTCATTGGGACCCTGTTTAATTTTTGCCAATTCCTCAGTTTTAACCCCTATTGAGGGCAGTTGTTTCCATGCGTGTAAAGCAATAGTATTGATTTGTCCAAAAGCCATCTCAGGAAGTTGTATCTGAACCTGAAGATCCTCAAACTGTCCCTTTCCAAGAAGCATATCTAAAGTAACTGGGATTTGGTAGGCACGATTTCTTTGTGCTTGATCATAAGCACGGTCTTCATAATCAGATCTCCAGAGGAGGTAATCACCCCCGGAAAGGCATGCTTTAGCAAGGCGGCCCCAATCATGTGGAAGCAAAGCCTCTCCGGTCAAATTTTCTAAAAGGGAAACGGTATAAGGGGCCATAGGGCCATACTGAGCAACAGCTTCTTTTAACTCAAAAAAGTTTTAGGAGGTATAGGATGATATCTACGGACTACCTGTCCCTGAGCATCCTGAACTTCAACAACAGGGAAAAGGCAAGGAAACATATTATCCACATCAGAAAACCCTCTTTTGTTAGACAGTAAAGCATGAGTTAACGGGAGAACAGGGGCAAGGTCTGTGGAGCGTAAAACAAGAGGCATACTTCCAGCAGGAGAATATTTCATACCTGTGTCACTTTCTTGTACCACAGGAAAACACTGCTGATTAGAAAACGCACGGGAGCAAAGTGAAAGTAAATCCTGAAACTGTTTTAAAAAATCAAGGGGGTAAAGTAAGTACAATAGGACCAGGTTGCCAGTCAGGATTGGTTTCTGAAGGTTTAGGAGTTTGTACTACAACTTCCTCAAGCGGAACATCATAAGGATTAGAATCATGCTCACTGTGATGACTAC